CTAAAACAATAAATTAGATTTATATATTTTATAAAATAAATATTTATTGTTATTTTAAAAGTATGACAAGACAAAATTCGTCTAACACTTAGACTCCCACGACAAGTTGAGCAGGAAAAAGAAGTTGAAAAAAAAAAGACATTATACCATTGTTCTTATCCATATTTGCAAATGCGCCCCAATTTGCATGGATCAACTTGAACACGATAAGATAATTACATGAAGCTACAAAACATGAAACACCATTGTCCCACATAATGCATATAATTGCACTTTCGGTCACTCATAATTGTAGGTCTTGCATTTTTAGCCCCAATATATTTAAAAGAGCTTTATAAGAATAACATCATGTTAATAGTCAATATTGCATTGATGCAGACGAGCAAAAATAATGAAGAAAGGAAAAGCAAATTAAACTGACACTATTGTTAGGATGGCAAATAATATTCAAAAAGAAAATAACATGCATGAGGTAACTATAAGGGACTAAAATAGCATAATCTCAAAGCCCATATTAAACCCACTTTATGTGCAAGGAAAGCTTATGTTAGCCCACTAGAGTAACGTGTTAGTCCTCATTGCTCAGGCCCAGGTCCAGGCCCAGGCCAATACAGTTGGCCATTCATTTGACTACACCTCTTTACAAAATAAATAAATAAATAAATAAATAAATAATCATTTTCTTTTTTCATTTTGACATTTCTTTTTTTTTTTTTTTTGGTAAAGGGACCTTCCAGTTTCCAGATCCACAGGGGAACCGACTAATCCGGAATCGAGCCGGGTAGGACCACAAGGGCAGCAAAGCTCTCCTTCAAGAGTTTTAACACTGTTGTATTCTCAGGGCTCGAATTTAAATCATATAGGCATGTTCTTGGAGGGAATCAAGCTTGGTGCCGCCACCTCTTTAGCTGGGAATTTTCCTTTATTTTGACCTTTGAATTTTGATTTATAAAAATAAGTGAAGAAGAGTCTTCACATACTGAAATGGCAAATTTTCTCCTTTGAACGTCTATTGAAAAAGGGAAAACGTTGACTATTAAGAATAATATTGCATGTCATGCAATCATTTTATTATAACAAAAGAAAAAACTATTTTACACGATAGAATTGAGTAGTTTATTTATGCTAAATAGTCTAAACTTCATTTCTCATCAATTGCATTTTGCAATTTCATTAAAAAGTGGGGGTAAACATAAAAGGAAAATGTTACAGTTTCGTTACGGAACCACTCAAACGAGATTTGTAACCGTTAGATCATCATGTAACCGTCGTGGATAGTTGATCTAACGGTTACAAACCCTAACGGAATAGTTCCGTAGAATCTCCTAATATAAATTATGTCATTTTAATTAATATGTTCTAGAATCTCATGCAAAATGGGGAAATTAAGCTGCCACGGAAATTTTTATTTTATTCATTTTTTCAAAAGATTTGTTTCACTAAAAATGAAAATGAAATAGTTTTTTTCTTAAACAAAAAATATATATTTTCTTATCCCATTTGTTTTTTTTTTCTGTATAATTTCACTGACACATCTAAAAATAAAAATAATAAAAATAATATATTGTTCAACAACATAGCATTTTAGTCCCAAGTAAGTTGTGGTAGGCTATAGATAAACCCAAGCGAACTAATAGTAAGAGAAACACAAAAATGACTCAAAACAAAAGAAAGAGATTGAAGCAAAAGAGAAAGGAGCAAAATTTAAGTCACGGTTCTGGCACGTTGATTGCTAGTCTCCAAGCGCTCCTATCCACCGCTAAATCCTTAGAGATATTCCAATCTTTAAGGTTTGTCTTAACCGACTCTTCCCAAGTGAGTTTAGGCCGACCTCTACCTCTCTTAACATCATCGACCCGCTGTAGAACTCCCTTACGCACCGGTGCATCAGGAGGCCTCCGTTGGACATGTTCGAACCACCTCATCCGATGTTGAACCAATTTCTCCTCAATTGGAGCCACCCCGACCCTATCTCGAATATCCTCATTCCGGATTCTATACCTTCTCGTGTGCCCGCAAAATCAACGCAACATACGCATCTCTGCTACACTTAGTTATTGGACATGTTGCCTTTTTGTAGGCCAATATTCAACACCATATTGCATCACCGGACGAATCGTCGTCCTATAAAACTTACCTTTTAGCCTTTATGGCACCCTCACTGAAAAATAATCTATTGTTCGATAATAAAAAAATACTATTTATTTACTCATATATTTATAACTATCAATTTTTATTAATTAATTAAGTTATAAATTTTTATTAATTAATTATTTTATTAGTTTTTCACCATATCCGTTTTAATAATCTGACTAATACCGAAACACGCTTTTCTGCTTCTCTGTATACACCCGAAAAGCGAACCGAACTCGAGAAAACTCTCTGTCACATGTCTGCATCTTCACAACCACAAAAAATGGAGAGCAAACGCCAGGCCCTTCTTCTGCTGCGTATCCTGGCCGGAATCCTCGCCGTCCAACTCACCTCTGCCGTCGATTTCCTCTTCAACGGCTTCGACGCCACAGGCAGCGTCTCACTCTACGGCACCGCTGCCGTGGAATCCAACACCCTCTCGCTCACTCAGCGATCCTCCTTCTCCATCGGCCGCGCTCTGTACCCTTCGAGGATCCCCGCGAGAAGGCCCAACTCCTCGGCCGTCATCCCCTTCTCGACTTCGTTTATCTTCGCAATGGCGCCGTACGAGGGCTTGCTCCCTGGACACGGCCTGGTTTTCCTGTTCGTGCCGCACTCGGGGATCGAGGGCTCGAGCTCGGCGCAGAATCTAGGGTTTCTGAATTTTACCAACAATGGGGATTCGGATAATCACGTGCTGGGAGTCGAATTCGACTGCTTTATGAACCAGGAGTTCAATGATATTAGCGATAATCACGTTGGGGTTGATGTTAATTCGCTCGTCTCTGTGCGCGCTCACGAGGCGGGCTATTATGCGGGTGAAGACGATGATTCGTTTGAGGATTTGGATCTTAATAGTGGGAGAAATTATCAGGTGTGGATTGATTATGTGAACGGTACTCTTGCTGTGGCTATGGCGCCCGTGGGGTTAAGAAGGCCTGATCGGCCGTTGCTAAGTGTCGCTCTTAACCTCTCGGAGGTTTTTCAGGATGAAATGTATGTTGGGTTTACTGCATCGACCGGAGATTTGGTTCAGAGCCACAGGATTTTAGGTTGGAGTTTTAGCAACACGAATTTTTCGCTGAGCGAGGGTTTGATTACAGAGGGTTTACCGTCATTTGTTCTGCCGGGGATACCGATGTACAGATCCAGAGGTTTCATTGCAGGTTTAAGCTCAGCTGCTGTGGTTTTTGCCATTCTTTGCTCTGCTGCAGCTTACGTGTTTGTTATAAGACCCAGGAGAAAAAAGAGAAAAAAGAAGGATGAATTTGAAGACTGGGAATTAGAATATTGGCCTCACAGAATTAACTACGAAGAAATTGATTCTGCAACCAAAGGCTTTGCCGAGGAAAATGTTGTTGGGACAGGCGGCAATGGTAAAGTCTATAAAGCCGTTTTGCCCGGAGGAGCCGAGATTGCCGTGAAACACATTTCCCTTGAAAATGACGAAGGCACACGAGCTTTCTTGGCCGAAATATCGAGCCTCGGGCGTGTTAAACACCGAAACTTGGTTGGTTTAAGAGGGTGGTCCAAGAAAGACAAAAACAGCCTATTCGTAGTATACGATTACATGGAAAATGGTAGCCTCGACAAAAGGGTGTTCGATTCTGATGAGGAGAAAACATTGAGTTATGAGGATCGAATACGAATCCTAAAGCAAGTGGCTTCCGGAATACTATACCTGCACGAGGGTTGGGAGGCCACTGTTCTCCACCGAGACATCAAAGCCAGCAATGTCTTGCTCGATCGGGAAATGAACGCGAGGCTTGGAGATTTCGGGCTTGCCCGGATGCATGACCACGATAAGGCTGCGGGGACGACGCGCGTGGTGGGGACAGCCGGTTATCTTGCACCTGAGTTCGCCAAGAATGGCCGGGCCTCGACAAAAACCGATGTTTTCAGTTACGGGGTTTTGATTCTAGAAGTTATCTTTGGCCGGAGGCCGGTGGATGAAGGCCAGCCGCCTCTAGTGGATTGGGTGTGGGGGCTTTTGAAGAAGGATGAGTTGCTAACCGCGGTTAAGAACAAACCACGGTTAAGTAATGGAGAGGAAGTTGAGAAGGTGATTCATTTGGGTTTGTTGTGTGCTCATCCGGATCCGAATGCCCGGCCTTCTATGAGGCAGGTGATGATATTTTTTGAGGGGAAGAGTGAAAATGAAGAGGAAGGGATGAATGTTTATCTATTGGAGAGGTTGAGGGGACTTGGTGATGGTTTTGGTTCGGGTTCGGGGTCGGGTTCTTATCCGACGTTCTCGGAGATTAGGCGAGGAGCGAAATCTTCGATATCGATTTCTTGGAGCGATAGTACCATTGTGGACGGGCGATGAGTCGAAGACGAGGCCAAGTGATTCTTGATTGTTTTTGGTGTTGTTTCTAGTTGTGGTTTTTGTGTGTGTAGTATGTTGATGAGGTGAATGTGGAGATGGTTTATTCTGGGAAGTAGAGTTTCTTTTTAAGATGCTGGTAGTGTAATGCATGTTTTAGTGTCATATAGTGTGTATTTTTTTGTTTTAGAGAACTTAGGTATCAGTATCGATGTATCATGTTGGATGCATCTAAAGCATAAGTGTGTGCTGCAAATGTGTCGAGTCAAGTCAATCGAGCGCATACTGAGCTTTCTTATTCACTGCTCGAGCTCGACTCAACTCGAGAAAAAAATAAGAATGCTCGATCTTGACTCGATGCTGAACATGATTTGAGTTCGGATTGAAATTTTTAAAACAAAAAATTTAAATATAAATGTACCATTTTTAATCTTTATAAACAATTTTAGTCTTGGTGTTCTAATATTGATAATTCAACCATATGACGTATTTATGAAAATAAAAATTTGATCGGCTCGTCGAGCTTATGAGCCGTTTGAAATGATGCTCGAGGCTCGACTCGGTTGCTCGATTGAAATGATCGAGCTCGAGTCGAGCATCGACTCGAGCGACTCGAGAGTTGCTCGACTCGTTTACAAACCCTACACCCACCAATGGTCTAGTGGTAGAACATACAACCTGGTAGTTTATTTTTTGCAATAAACTGAGCCCACATATATTTGGCAGCCCAAAGCCTACTTTTAGAAATGTCATGTCCTTAAAATGGTAGGTCTTATGTTAGCCTTACTTAACCATTGGATACCTTTTTTTTTTTTTTTTTTCCTTAAATAAAATACAAACTTTCATTAAAAAGTATAATATGGTGTACATAATATTAACATAAACATGAAATTTGATAGTATAATTATGCATGTTTTATTACACAATATGGTGAATTGAGTATGATAGATCGACCAGTCTAATATTAGTCCAACCGGCACAACAACTAATTGTGTGTGTAATGGTTAGTTCGGTTTTGATGCTGAAATTGTGAAATTATTTTGTTCCTTCATTCAAAGGGTTGCCTTTAGTGCACGTCATCATCAGGGGGGTCCAGGTCAAATCGGGGGCCAGTGCGAAATTTCAAGATGAGGCCCTAGTGGATTGGCGGTGGGCAGCGGCAACGCGATCAATGCTGTCGGCAATCAGTTGATCTTCCTCTAATTTGGGCCTTCTTTTGCTAAGCAATGGGCTGAAAACTCATGAAATTGAAGCCTTCTATATTAGAGCATCTCCAATGGTTGAGCATCTATTTTAAGATGAATGGTGTAGAGAAAGTGAATAAAAATATTTTGTCTCCAATGGTTAACGTCAATTGTAGAATAATTTGACATGTGTAAAGTAATAATTGGTTGGTGGAAAGAGAAATATTAAATAAATAATATAATATAGAGTCGAAGATGTCTAGAAGTCTTTCTACATCTAGAAAGACTTCTAAAATTTTGAAACGCCACATCAAATTTTTGAGGCTATGTGGCAATAAATTAGAGCAATCCATGTACTATTAGAGATGTTCTTACTATACATAAGGTATACTTTATATTTTGGGGGCTTT